TATATATAGGATGTGTGTGTGTGTGTGTAGATGTAAATAATACCAATTGTGGTAATATCAATCAAATGTGTAATTTTGTCAGATCGACCTGATCCACCAAGATTTGTTTCTGTGGAGAGCGTTGGACATGACTCCTTGGCTCTCACATGGAAACCACCCTCATGGGATGGTGGCAGTAGTATCACTAATTATTTGGTAGAAAAACGTGAGCACCCAATGACAAGTTGGATTCGGGTTGGTAATACACGATTCACAACGATGGCAGTAACTGGATTAAGTCCTGGCCACCAATATGAATTCAGAGTTTATGCTGAAAATGTGTATGGTAGAAGTGATCCAAGTGATGTAACTTCCCTTGTTCAAATGAAAGATACTGGTAAGAAGGTTGTCAAGAGAAAACAATATGAAGGTGCGTAGGAAATATTTTATAAGATAGTTAACATGTCATTAATTGTATCAACTTTGAAGTTTCACATGAATACTCATAAAATAAACTTAAATTTTTAGTTGATGCAACTGGTAAAAAGATTCGTGGCAAAGCTGAAGACAAAATTGGTGACTATGATCAGTATGGTGAGTATTTGTACAATCATTAATATAATCCATGCATAGTTTCATAATCCCTCATTTTGCTAGAAGTGAGAGGAGTGGTTGGTTTGGTTCTGTTCAATTGGTTCAGTTGATTTTGTTCAATGACAGGTCAGTAATATCGAATCTGTAGCTCGGTTTTCGATGCAAAATAATTTCTATTATATTGGAGCTAAAATTTGTTTATTTTCTGATTTTCATCGTAATTCTGAAAAATCTTTCATTCTTGATTCAACTAATGTTGGGAGAGGAGTGTAAGTAAGGGTTCCAAGGCTCAAGAAAATTTGTGTGAATAATATACATACAATCATTACTGCATCCTTTGCATATGTAGGGCATATATCATAATTAACAAAGTGAACTTAACAGATATATACTTGTTATGGTAGCTGTGATGGTGAAAAACTTTTAAACTGTAAGTATTAGTGATACAACTAATTTAACATTTCATTTGTATCAATAGTTCATTGAATGTTTTTTAATTGTGCTGAGGTGAAATAATGAAAATTATAATTGTAAAAGAAAAGGATATAAAAATAATATGTTTTAAAGCATTTACTGGTGCTTTGAAGTAAGAGTTGATATTTTCAATCTAAAAATAAAAATAAAAAATATGAAAGAAAATAAAGTTATAAAAATAATAAAGTTAAGAAGAAGAATATGCATTGTTTTGATTGTATTATTGAAGTTATTAATTATGTTTCATTCTTGAAAGGACTGTAAATTTCTTAAAGTGACAAAGGGCTGTGTTTACTTTTCAGTATTTGACATATATTCCAAATATGTGCCTCAACCAGTTGAAATTAAGACGAGCAGTGTGTATGATCATTATGATATATTAGAAGAAATTGGAACTGGAGCATTTGGTGTTGTTCATCGATGCAGAGAGAGAAAGACTGGAAACATATTTGCTGCTAAATTTATTCCTGTATCACATGCAATGGAGAAAGAATTAATAAAGAAGGAAATTGATATAATGAACCAACTTCATCATCCTAAACTTATTAATTTACATGATGCATTTGAAGATGATGATGAAATGGTTCTTATATTTGAATTGTAAGTAATTGCATACAGAATTTCATTAATACATTTAAATTCTAAATGCAGTAAGCAATTTTTTTGAAATAATCAGTATTGTGCACAGAGTATAAATCAAAGTAACACTTCTAAAAATATCATACGAATGCTCTTTCTTTGTTGCAGTTTGTCTGGAGGAGAGCTATTTGAGCGTATCACAGCTGAAGGGTATTCAATGTCTGAAGCTGAAGTCATCAACTACATGAGACAGATTTGTGAAGGAGTGAAGCACATGCACGAGAAAAACATCATTCATTTAGGTAAATATCATGATTTATTAATATTACAATATTCTGAATACTTCACAATATTATGTATGATATGGTGGGCTTCTGCGGCCAGAGTCTGGGCTGTTCGGGTGACACCGCATTGGCATCTCAACCATCGACACAGTGTCACCCAGACGGCCCAGATCAATATTATGTATGTTATATTTTTATTTGCATTTTCATGTTCTTGTATATAAATATATATTTTGTTAATTTGTTTTCTACTTGTTTATGATTGAATAAATAAGTTTAAATGACCATACATTTCACTTTCTAGATATCAAGCCTGAGAATATCATGTGCCAGACAAGAAGCAGCACAAATGTGAAGCTTATTGACTTTGGATTGGCAACTAAACTTGATCCTAATGAAGTTGTGAAAATCTCCACTGGAACAGCTGAATTTGCTGCCCCTGAAATTGTTGAGAGAGAACCTGTTGGTTTTTACACAGATATGTGGGCTGTTGGTGTGCTAGCCTATGTGCTGTAAGTAATATGCACATATTTTTTGTCCTTGAGGTGCTTTACCTATTTTCTCTGTAAAACCAATTTTTTTAAATCTAGATTGAGCGGCTTATCACCATTTGCTGGAGACAATGATATTGAAACTCTGAAGAATGTGAAAGCATGTGATTGGGACTTTGATGAAGAAGCTTTTGCTAATGTTTCTGAGGAAGGAAAAGACTTCATCAGGAGGCTACTGGTCAAGAACAAGGAGTAAGCTTCTATGTCTTTTTGTTCTCAGGAACTTCAAATAATTTATTTCCAGATTTAATGATTTATTCTTTTTGCAGGAAGAGGATGACAGCTCATGAATGCCTGTTGCATGCATGGTTGACAGGAGATCATAGCAATCGCACTGATGTTATTAGTAGCTCTCGCTACACTAACATTCGGGACAAGATCAGAGCCAAATATACAGATTGGGAATCATTCATTCTTCCTATTGGCAGACTGGCTGAATACAGTTCCCTGCGTAAATTACTGGTTGACAAGTATCGCATTCATGATACTTCATTTGGTATGTTACAATTTTTTTGCTCAGAATCTAAAATACAATATACAGAGAGTTTATTGTACTTGTATGAAACTAATTTCTTCATTTCTAATTTTATTTCATCAGATCGTAGGCAAGCAGCTCCTCGATTTGTTATTAAACCACAAAGTGCATTTGCATATGAAGGACAGAGTGCTAAATTCTATTGCAGAGTAATTGCAATTGCTACTCCCACTCTTACATGGTATCATAATAATGCTGAGCTACGACAGAGTGTTAAGTTCATGAAACGTTATGCCGGGGACGACTACACATTTATTATTAACAGAGTAAGAGTAGAAGACAGAGGAGAATATATTATTCGTGCTGAGAACCATTATGGCTACAGAGAAGAAGTTGTCTTCTTGAATGTACAACGTAAGTCAATTTGAGTCAATATTCATTAGAAGATGTAAAAAAATCATCCATTATTTAACATGTGTAATTTAGGTAACTGTGCTATAATTTTCTTACATGTACTTACGGCATTGCAGCTCTGCCAAAGGAAGTCCCACAATATAGACCTGAAGTTCAGCCAGTTAGACGCCGTGAACCATTGGCTTACACCATGTGGCAGGAGGAAAAAGAAAGTGCTCCATGCTTCACATTCCTGTTGCGACCTCGTGTCATGCAATATAGACAGACATGTAAATTGCTTTGCTGTCTTAGTGGAAAACCTGTTCCCACAGTAAGTAAATATTTACTTCTTGGAGATGGTAATTTTTAGGAGTAACAGGAATAATATTAATTTGAACTCATATTGTCTGCTCGTATTTCGTTCTGAAACATTTAACATTTACATGAAAAAACATTTCTCTCACAATAAAATATGTTTTAAAAAGGCATATTAGTTTTTAATAGAGAGAGATGGAAATTCTATCATTACTGAGCATGAATTTTTTTGTTTTTGTCTTTCATGTACTGAATGAAATTATGTTAGGGCATTTTAATAGTGATATCTGACAAGGGTCTGATATGTAATTCAAACCTGTGTTGATTTTTGCCAGTAATTTAGAGCATATGTGGTTCGTATACAAAGTTTTAGCTGCCAAAACAAAGAACTGTATTACTTGCAGAACTTCCAGTTTCTTTTAGCAAATAAAACTTTATATTCAAGAACCACATGTGATCCTAACCACCAATCAAAAAAAAATTAGGTGTGTTTTGACAGGACAGGCCCTTCCCTTGTGAGTATAGAAATTCACAGAAACAAAAAGTCACTAATTCACAAGTGAGAGAACTTGTTTAAGAATATGGTTTACATTGTTCAGAGATACAATAATAAATTTCAGGAATGAGGGATTTTCCATATTCTGTAGTCATGTGTACTCTTTGAATTATAATAATAATAATAATTATTATTATTATTAATTATTATTATTATTATTAATTATTATTATTATTAACAATAATAATTATTATTAATAATAATAATAATAATTATTATTATTATTGTTGTTGTTGTTGTTGTTTCCCTTGAAAGAACTGAGGGGCCTAAAAGCAAAGGGTTGCAAGGGCTGGTAATGAAGTTTTGAGAAAATGGGGACATAAAGTTTGTATGAATCAATTGTTTTTACAGCCAGTTATCTCATAATGCAAGCCCTAAGTGTTAAATTTTGAATTTAGTGGAGAATAATAAGTACATTCTCGGATTAAAGGCAGCCACTTAAAGAGTTTTGGATTCATACAAGGAAGTGTTGACATATTTAGTTGTAGTCTCCAATAAATTGTTTAAGCAAGGGCATGCAAAGAAAGCAAGAGGCCTTGGAAAGTAGATACATGGAGGCCCTTATTTCAAAGTTGTGCCCCTCCCGGAACACACAAACAAAATTCATTTCTGCAAAGTTAATTTGAATTATAAGTAATTGTATTTTTTTATTTGTTTTGAATGAAAACAATTTTCAGGGCCCCAAATAAGTTGGGGCTTGGGGCAAGTGGCCCTAGTGGCTCCCCCCTCTCTTCTAGGCATCCCTGTTTATAAGGCCCTAATGAGGGCTACTAGCATTGGTCTCTGATAGTAGACTACTCAGAGGATATCATCACTTTGATGTTATGATCCATATTGTAGAGATTATAGCAGCCGCCCATTTTCACTGAGCATTGCCTGCAAAGGGAGTTAAGTTGTATATTAGAAATAGCAGTTCACCACGGGAATGTATAATCAATTTTTTTAAGGGCAATTAAAAGATTCATAGAAAAGTCAAGATACCATTAAACAAAAAAAAGGCATGCATTCAATATAAACACAATGATTTTTAATAAAAAGAATCTAAAGTATTATTGAATTAAATGTTTAATAGAAAGCAAATAGCTATTTAAGAAAGGCTTTCAGTTAAAAAAGTGATGAATTTAATTTTTAATAATTTTTATTTCAGGTCAAATGGTATAAGGACAAGAGAGAATTGAGCAAGTATGAATATACAATGACACATGCTGATGGAGTTGTTACAATGGAGATTGTCGACTGCAAACCAGAGGATTCTGGAAAATATAGATGTGTTGCTACAAATGTCCATGGAACAGATGAAACAAGCTGTGTAGTAATTGTTGAAGGTAAGGGTTAGAAAATGTTCATTTAAATATGAGTTGTACAAGCACACTCTCACAAACAAGATATTTCACATTATTGCTTGTACTATTTTCAAGGTTGCACAGATGTAGTGGTCTAGGTAAAGAAGGTATCATTATTGAAATAGATTAGAATGGATAAGCATAGAATAAAATATATCATCAGCGTAAATAAGAGTCATAAGTTAAAAGAACCGTATATCTGTGCACAACCCATATTTAAAATGTAGTACAAATCCATTGAAAATTGTTTTTAGCATTCTTTGAAACTAAAGTTGATAATTTATTTACTACTGGTATAAAATGAATACCAACTACAAATATTTAGTGGAGCAATCTTCTGTTCATAAATAATTATTATTTGTGATTGTTTATTTAATATAACTATTTGCTCATCAAAAAGAAAAGTCAAAAACTTTCCCTACAAATAAACTTTCAGACAAACTTCACACACGAAATATCAAGATGACAATATTGAATATCTTTTTCATAACGCTCTCCTCATAGATATCTTCTTTTTTCATAGGCTTTGGAACAACTGCTGAACAATCTGAATTAGCTAATAAATTGATTTATTCTGGAGGTAACCAGTGTGATACAAAAATAAAACATTTCTTTGTGCCTTTACTTGTTGAATCCTTTTCCTTTATTTAACTATAATCTGTAACCGACTGCTATGCCTGGTATTATTTTCATGAATTGGTCAAGTTGATAATTTTTCACCTTTTTCTGTAAGATCGCATTTTTTCTTAGTGATATTTTGAAAATGAATCCCAAAATTTGTTTTCTTGACTTTGAAGAATAATTTTCCCTTGTTACAGCAATGCTCTTTGCATGTAAGTGTGCACCAATAGAACCCTAGATTGTAATGCATGAAACTTTCCATTCAAATTAACATATTAACAATTGTCACAAGTTTAACTTTTTGCTAGAATTTTAAGCATTTACATACTTCCAAATGCTGAAAATTGTGATTAGTATATAGTTAATTGTATTACTTCATTATGTATAATCAAAAAATTTCTATTACATCTCTATTCTTTCTTTACCTCTTAAAACTTTTCATTTTTAAAACTGAAAGACTTACTAGAAACTTTACACTTGAATACTTAACTGCAATATTTGTGCAAAATCATTGAAATATTTGTGTATTTTTTATGTTAATTGCCATGAATAGCTATTAATTTTGTCAACTATGATTATGCATTACAGGTAGCAGCTTTAGTAATGTTTTTAGTTAAAGTGCTTTTACAATCTTATATGGTCAGTTCAATTGCTATGATTGTACACTCTTTCTGAAGTAGTAAAACTAACATACTTCATGATGAATAGTTTTGAAGGGTTGTTTCTACAGTATTTTGTTATAGTTTTATCGAACAAATGTTTTCGAGTTTTCTTCATTTGCCAGCTTTAAATCGTAATCTGCAATATTTTTAATATTTTTTGTAAATAGATCGCAGGTATATAGAACAACCTAGTCGGCCAGCTCCTCAACAAGTGACTGTGAGGACTGCCCAGACCTCTTCCAGTACCAGCAGTGCAAGACAAAGTTCTTCAAGTGCAACTAACTACAAGGTAATATTGGAAAACAATTAAGTATAATTTACCAGATTTGACACAAAAAATATCTAACATACTATATAACATTCTAGCCTTTCGTTTACCGCGATGATTTTACAGGATCCTTATGTTATGATTATATTGTGTGATATCTAAGCTCTTCAATTACTATGACACCATTCATAGAGTCCAAATAACTCGAAACTTGAATTTGTGCTGTTTTCTTATCATCTGAATCTGGCTAATACGGGAATTGGAAAGCCTGTACTATCGAGTTCCACGATGTCAGTTGTAAATATCCATTTACACGATACTAAAAAAAGTACAACCTAATGTAACCTCGCAGTACATATTCCTATATAAATGTAGGGTGAATTTACTTTGCTGGAACGCAGTTCTCCAATCGAGCGCTTAAATATCAAAAATTTAAGTTGTAACGAAGCTCCAAATTTGAATTTCCACTTTCCAGTTGTAGCTGACAATTTAGCCGCAAAATTTCTATCAATCGGAGTGCACTGAGTTCAGACACGAACACGGGGCAGAGTAACCAGCTTATTCTCCAATTTTGTTATGACATCTGATGTTCGATAAGCTGGGACGCCGTTTCAATATAGTGCACACCATAGCACCAACACGACAGCACCAGACAGCGCTGCTGATCTTCTGCGCCTGAGCAAACCGCAAATGCACTAAAGTGATGCGAAATGTGAACTGCGGTAGTGATTTAACGTTCGAGAGTGCACAAACTCCCTACCATGGTATTAAAATTGGAATGTACTATTAAATTCTCGGGCACTGCGATCAAAGAAACTGCCGCGAGTTTTAAAAGTAAATGTAAAAATTCGTACTAACTCAAAGAAATGATCCACCAAAAAGAAATGATACATCAGTCAATTTTCAAATTGTCAATTGAGAGTAAAATTAAGCATCTTGAAACTAAAGGAACTTGATTTCGCAGTCGTGATTACTGAAGAGTGCTATAATTGCATGAACTTCCTACATTGGGTAAGGTTAGGTGGTTTAGCAAAGATTATTCCGCCCTTCAGCGAGAAATGTTAATTTATAGAAACTTGTTAATTTAGTTCACATTATTGCAAGATATAACAGCGCGCACGGTTTCTTAAACCCTCGCTTCTCTAGTCGCCAGAGGAGTGGGGAGCTTGGTTATTTTGACGAAAGGAATTTTGTATGAAATTTGTAGTTTGTTTATCGTTGCAACATTGTTTCAATTACACGGGAGCAAACATTTCTGAATTAGATTTTGCGTATCGCGCTCGTTACTGTCATTTATTCTTATTTCAACTAATGTTGGCAAAGGAGTGGGAGTAGGTATTCCGGGGTGCAAGAATACGTGCGCGTGTAAATAACACATAATAAAAATATGATAAGAATTCTACATTCAAATATTTTCCTGTCCCTTGGCAAAAAAAGGCAGAATTTAAAAAGGAAATAAACAGGAAATAATGCAATACATGTGTAGTAACTGATATAGACATAAATTAAATCTTATTTGTTTGGTAGAAAATATCAGGCAAACATATTTTCGTATGAAGCCATTATTCCTTCGTGATATGCGCGCACGTTTTCTTGAGCTCTCCGTTTTGCTAGATGCGTGAGGAATAGGGGGGTCTGGCACACTAGTTTCTAATAAGGGGAGCGAATATTTTCTAGTTATCAGATTTTGTTGACAACGTTCGTTAGTATGTTTTATTCCGAATTCAACCAATGTTAGTAAAGGAGTGGTGGTAGCTATTCCGGGCCCCAAAAAACCTGCAAATGTAAACCTGCAATATTCTTTGAGCACGCTTTGCACTTACACTCTCCACTTCAGCAGGTAGAGAAAAGTTACTCTAAGAAGGGACGTAACAGAAGTGTGGAAATCATTTACAAATGAGCCAACTGCAAATGAAAACATTGACGAATTGAGTGCATGCTCTCAAAGCGGCCTCAGTAATCTCTATGGAGCCGATTTTGATGATCTAAAACACCGCCAAAAATGATCAATAAAATGCTCTAAAAGCAAAACAAAATTAATGTTATCAAAATCACTTCGGATAAAAAACTGAAGCTGTTGGGTACGTTACTGATGTAATTGAGGCTTCTTCCATTCTTTCAAGTGAACTCAGTTTGCAAACTTTTGGTTTGTCTGGATCAGGAAATCTCTGTCTTTATTTATCGTGAGATACGTTGAACCGACAATGGTGTTGATAGGCGTCACAGGAATGTTACAACGGCTGACATTACAATTTCTGAGCGAAGAAATCGAATATGCTACTCTGGAATTCTGTGGAAAACATTTGTTGCATTTCGTAAATATCATTTGAAACAAGTGCCATTACAATGTTAGTAAAATCAATGAAATTAGCGAAAAATGCAATGAAAATGACGAAAAATGCAGAAAAAAGACACATAGAAATGGGTAATTTCCTTTTGTCATAATATAAAATTAATGCTTATTAAGCATTTACATGTAAAATGATGTAAAATTAATGTCATACGGCATGTCTATTAATGTCTAAACGACATTCTTCTAAAGGGAAAAGAAAAAAATGGCATTTCATTAAAATCCGCCCCTTAGTAATCTCTCTATACCACGTGCGGACGGTTTGACATGCCTGAGTAGTTGATAGCCCTGGGCTAATTGCAATTAGTCAGATGATGTTCGAAATCCGTTCATCGACATTCGTTCAGCTTGATTCAAATCGCCTGGTTAAGTGCGCATTAACAAAATAATTCGCGAATGGGCCATATTTAGGACTTGGACATAAATAAATGCGTACTATACAGACAATTATTTAATATTGCAAAAAATCAATGTTCAAAAATCAATTTTGACGAAGATCAACCTTTGGGGGCTCTCTGATGGGGAACAAGTTTTGTTTCCAAAACGGCTGTTTGTCCAAACATAGGGTTCCCAAATATATTTTCAAAAAATATTGAACAAGCGTGAAGACGGAGGGCACAATATAGAAAATAAAATTCAATATTTATTATTACTATTATTATTGTCTGCGTTTTACAAAACGATCTTCAGATACATCGATTTTTACTTTCTCGCCCTTCTTCGTAAGAACAGAAAGTATTGTAATCGTCCGTGGAAAACAGCGGTTAAAAAAACCTTATTGCCAGGCCCTGGTAACGAAAACGTGGATAAGTCTTGTTCCTGTGTATAGTAAATTATTTTCTTTAATTCGTTGTGTAGTCAGAAGACGTGTTTTGTGGGTCCTTGATTCCGAAAAAGCGTTTGATGGCAAAGACAGACAGACTTCTAAATGATCAACGCTAACGCCTAAAACGTTCCGACGATTTTCTCCAAAACTGATATTTCATGATCGATTTAAAGGAATTAGATGCCTTGCACGTTGGAAACTTTAAAATATTATTATTATTATTATTATTATTAGTGATTCCAGGCGCGTCAACAGCTAAGATCATTAGTTCCGTACGTGTACAGTATGTTTTACCGTTAGAGGTGGCGGTGATCATACCCCACTCGCTGGCGAGATCCGGCGCCGACCTACGGGAATTTTTCCCAACCAGATATTTCTCACCAGCAGGCACCGCCCCAGTCAGGACAATTTCTAAGCTCCCGACCGGACTCCCGGCATGTGTGGTAGTGTAGTGCATGTAAGTGTAAGTAAGGGATGAGGAAAAGGCAATGAAGAGGAAGGAAAGATCGCGCGCGGTCCGTGGCCCGTTTGATAGGATACTGCTCCGGCGTTCGCCTGGTGTTGATCGGAGAAACCAGTGAAAACTATCGACCAGAGCAAACGGCTGCTAGAATTCTCCAGGCAACGGCTGAATTCGACGTAGCTCACTAGCCCAATCGGGAATCCGTGGTCAGGGCCGTCGTGCACTGGTTTGCCGCCCTGGTGCAAATATATTTTGCCGCTTTCAAAAGGAATACTTTAATTACATACTTATAATAGTAGAAACGTTTAGTCGTTTAAAATAGCATTTACTAAAGTGTTATTGCAGATTTATTACATAATAAATATAATATCTAAGTACAATCTAATATAAGGCACTTTTCGAACTTTCAAATTTGCAAATTTTTTAATGATTCTCTCTAAATAAATATTGTTATTTCGACAAGATTTCACTTTCAATTGATATCGTAGCCAGTTCTGTTAATATTTCTTGCGTCATGGTTAATCGCAGAAAGTTTTTAGACTAATAATTTTTAATTTTGAAGATGATCTTCCTCCGGTTGCTAGTGTAACTGCCAAAGTTAATAAAATTTGTAACATCACGGTAATATTAGAGAATGGCCCGGTTAGTTTATTTTGATATATGAATTTTAATACTTCAATTGGTGATGAATTTGATTTGAGAAATTTCGTGATTGTATTTAGTTCATCTGCAATTTCTATTGCTTTTATATCTTGTGGACTATCTGTACTAGTTTCGTCGGTCAGTTTAAAATATAGATCCATACTTTTTTTTTTAATACATGTGATTTACTAATTTCTGCTATTTCGTTGAAGTCATATACAAAATTTTGTAGACATTTATAAATAGTATATATTCATACAGTATATGAAGGGATATAAAAAACGCATCATGTTGCTCTGTAAAGCAATTGATACCTTTCTTCCATACATAAAACAGTAGTGTCAATAATAGTCGTATACGCGGAAATTGCCTTTTGGCACATTTATACTGTCATCATGTTCATAACCGAACATAGTTTTCTTTCTTCTCGTGCGTGTAGGTGGGGGAAAATATGCATCTACATTGCACGAATTAGCAAGCTCAGTTACAGTTCTTAGCATTTCATCAAACTTATTGCCATGTCTGAATGTTCGTTCTAAGAAGACATGACCGTTTTAGAATCTCTAAGGCCCCTGGCGGATTCGAAAAATGAGCCCCTCCGCACGCGCACACACACGTACAGATATATATTTCATTCAGGGATTAATAAAGGAAGGTAGAGGTAGTAGCGTAACGAAATGAGTGCGGGCCCGCCCGATAAACTTTGTCTGGGCCCCGTTTATAAAAGTGTGTAGCAAACA